CCATAATCAAATTTTTTTCTATTTTGTCTATTTTTTTTTCTAAACCATTAAACAAATAGGTTTATTCAGGCGCTTTTTTTAGTGGATTCATTCAACATCCACTAAATAATTGGCCAATTTTTTTCGTCCCGCATATTTGGTTATTCGTAAATCTCGCGAGAATCGTTCTAATTGTAAAATTGCAAAATAGCTAAAAATATTACTGCGTGGAAATACAAACTTAAAATCGTAAATTTGTTTAAAAAATCTATTTAGCAAATTGATTGCCTAAATTTCTTATAAAAAATTGATAAAAGAGGATTACGAATGAAATAAGAATAAACAACTATACTATCACTACTTTTGCTATTAGCCGGTCTTCGAATAAATCTGGGATATAAATTCATCGCATCAAAATCCTTTTATATATTTGTTGATGGAAATAATTGGTACTATAAATAAAAAATGATATCGATGTTATTAAAGCTGCAAAAAATAAAACAATTTTACTTGAAATGAACGGTGATTCATCAAAGAATCATTCGTCGAAAATCTAAATGGAAAGAATAATGTGGAACTACTGCAATCGGAGGAAATCCTAGTTGAGCATAAAAAACAGTTCAAATTATTTAATCATAAAAATGATAAGTCCCAGGAAAATATTAACTTCACTTAAGTACAGCCATAATATGATTATGATAATTGATGATTAATGAACTGAATATGAAAATATTCAATATTTTTCAATTTTCTCAGTATTTAAATATTTAGACATCTTAATATTCGGTTTCCTATCTCTTTAAGTAGTTATGGTTTCCTATCTCTTTAAGTAGGGTGGTGAAATTACGCCGATTCGAATCGTTCCCTTTCATAAATTATAATCAAATTTTTAAATATTTTCAATTCATAAAAAGTGAGGTAACTGAGTGGATAGTGCTGGCAGGAAAAGACTCAGTCCTCCTTCATCTTCTCATTTCCTAGCAGAAGCAAACTTATCAGTAAAAAATTTGGGAAGCGCTGATAACCTATCTTTCCTTCTATTGTTAAAAGACTTTTAGCAAAAGTTTCGAGCCAAACTAATAGCAGAGCGTAATTAGAAATGATGCATGCTCACTAATTTTTCACTAATTTAATTTTTATATTTAATTTTTCACAAGAAGTTGAAATGGAAGGTACAAATTGAAAGGTTACAGTCGCTAAAACTTTTGATATATATATTCGATTTCTTTCTGGCAAACCGGAAGTATTTTTTAATTGTATGCGGGCATCATGGTATTGATAAGGATGAATTTATCTTTTGGTGTTGAATATCGGGAAATTTGGTGAAAAAGATGGAAAAAAACGATTTGTTCTGCCACTATGAATCAAATCAAATTATTAACTAATTGAAGAGAGAAAATAATGGTTTTGTGATTCAAATAAATTCAGAAGAATTTGCTGTAGAATTTTATTTCCAGTGAAAAATAATACTTTTTTTTATTGAACAATCATGATAATAAGATAAGATAATTTTAATTCACATAATGAAAAATTTACATAAAATATCGGAAAATTTTAGTTCATTAGAAGTTTGACGGAAGACTGAAAATGTTGAATTAAATTTCGGAGGAAATATAAAAATTTAGTTTATTAAAGAAAAGAGAATTTTGTGAAAAAAATTTTTTATCATATTCTCGAGTAAAATATACATTATGCTCTCAATTTTCTTAGAAAAAAACGAATCTGGAAAAAAAGTATTGTTAACATTTTATGGAAAGAAATATTTTAAGAAAAGTTTCGAGTAGTTTATTGAAATGAAAAAATTGCAAGAATATTTGAATGAAAACCTATTTGATAGCTGCTTAAATAACAGGAGGAAAAAATCACCTAATATTCGTAAATATTTGTTGATATCAGCTTATCATTCGAAGAAATAAGCATAACACAAGTGCGCATTTGATTTGAATAGAATGTCAGTTAAATGTGAGAGGGAGTTTGAGCGATCGAACGTGCATTGTTTAAATTATTGTTTCAAGTATCGTGTTCCCACTTTTGGCTGAATTAAGCCTCCGCAAAAAATCCAACTAACCATGGGACTCATCATACTTGGCTAGCATCACACTTTATATCAATAATATTAAGTGGGACGAGTTTGACGAGAAATATTGAGTGCTGGCCATTTGCATTATGTATATATTTACTTATGAACAATGAAATGTTAAATAAATTTGCAGAGTTGTTGGCAAAAAAACTTCTGCACATTTGAAACAATTTTCCTTGCTGCTGAGTTTTTTGAGTGCATAATTTTATATATTTTTAGCAGATGGTACATCTAACTTGAAGAATCGAAATTTCCACGAGAAAATTGCGTTAGAAATTGCCTAATTTATTGCCATGACACATGGGATGATTGCTGCTTCACCACTAAATTTATGCAGAAAAAAATAATGTTTTTAGATGAATTAATTAAAGATGAAATAAATTTTCTTTTTTCTGCAATTCAATGTTTCTGGTTCAGCTTCTTCTTCTAATTCCCACTTCTCGCCAGGCTGTTCTGCAGTAACCCCACCACTATCCATAAATTCCAATCTCCCAACATTTGACCATTCCGTCCCTTATGAGTTCGTTAGCAATTTTTTCTCATCAAATCGTAATAAACGATGGAAAAAAATCAAAAAAAATCAAAAAATCAAAAAACATTAATTCTATTTTGATGAAATGTTTATAGAAAAATAATGGATTTTCGGATAATAAAAAATGCGATGCAGCGATTTTAATAGATCGAACTTATGCAATTTATAAGAACAAATAAGTAGCGACGAATTTGATTTTCAGCTCCTTGAGAAGACGAAGGATGCAAGTCGTCCGATCGGCGATGGCTAAAATTTTTGCAATCTCTCTTGCATTGTATTCAGATAAAGCCGGATGAAAAAAAAATTGATCACATATTTCAGCACACTTAGGTTCCTTTTAAAAATCGCTCGTATAATCTCGCTCCATTTTCACTTTATGCACTCTTGTCTTCAGAACATTTTATAAATAATAAAAAATATTACCACCAAGTTCAATAAAAAAATCAGATCCTAGCGTAAAATTCAATTTATAATCTTTCAATAAGAAATTGTTTCACTAACAAACCTCCAATAGCGATAGAAACTTTCTCAGCCGTTTAGCCATTATCACAATTTATTTAAAACTTTTTTGAATGAATGAGGCTTTGAAAATTCTTTTCTAGCTTATAAAATTTTTTTAATTTATATATCCTTTGCATAAGACCTTGATTTACGTGCAAGGAAATAAAAACGAGCTAAAATAAAATCGAAGAAATTTATTACTAATAAATGAAATATTTATATAAGCATTAATTCATTTTTAATACGCAGCTAACTTCTTGGTCAATACAATATGGAATACAAAAAGAAGCAATAAATGGATTTAAAACAAAATCATAAGAAAAACCACCAAGAAAATAGGACTGAAGCAAAGCACAAAAGACATAAAAAACATTAAATATTCAGAAATAAGCTAAGAAAAGAAGAAAGATTATTAGACTACAAAAAAAGATTATAACACTACCAAACATTATTTTTTCCTTTTCTTCAAAAAAACATTTTTTTTCAATTTAAAAATTCGATTTGTAGTGTCCTCTGCGACTTTTTTTATATCAGTCAACAAGGAAGACAAAATTTCTGCCTGCAAAATTAAGATGTGCAAGCAAATAAGCATGAAAGCATATATGCCTTGTAAAGAATTTAAAATGCGCTAAAATAAAATCGAAGAGATTTTTTAAAAAATGTTTATGTTTATAAGCATTAGTCATCTTTAATAAAGAATATAAAATGGAAAAATAAGGCTTAAAATCAAAAATCAATTAAAATCAATCAAAATCAAAATCAAAAATGACCTTACAAAATGCATATGATATTCCATATATTAACAATGCTAACAGAGGAATATGAGCAAGATTTTAAAAGTTATTGACAATATTTCTTGCGATAATTAGCTTCTTTTAAAAAATAGAAAGGAATAAAAAAGGATGTAAAAAAAGGAATATCACTTAGGTGACTTGAAGGAAATTTTTTGTTTAGGGCACTCATCATTACGGTTAGACTCGCTTTTCTGGTTAGATAAATATATCTGAATCAGAGTTGGCGACAGAAAGTGAATAGCCAGCATCCGGATTTTTGGACAGGTTTACTTCTGCCGGGAATAACATTTCAGTGCTCCGAATTGAGCAACAATCCACTGAACTATTCTATTCTTCTTTCTTTTTTTTTGTTAGAAAACATTGCCATCCGACGAAGAGCGGGATATTGACGGATTCGAACCAAAGCTCTCGGTGGCGATTATTTTGCCAATGGACCACCAATGCACCAAGGAGAAATTTGATTTAGGAGAAATTTAATAAACTTGAATTGAAATCCAAACAAAAACGGTAATAATTAACATAGTTCCAATAAATATGACCAAATAAAATCTCACAAATAAAAATGAGATTCTGTTTTATTCCTCTGTAATATCTCTAAGCCAGTCTCTAAGTAAGAATAGATAATTTACCATCTATTAAAAAATAAGGATTTAAGAGGCAAAAAAAATTTAAAAAAATAAAGAAGAAAAAATTTATCAGTGAGGTTATGATGTTTATAATGTTCAGAATATTTTGATAAGGAAGTCATCTGATGCATTACCGAAAGCCATAAGCATAAGGTTAAAAAGCTTAGAAAATTAAAAGGTAAAAAACCAAGAATAGAATTGTTATGAGAGAATAATGACGTAATAAAGAGAAAAATTCTAAGAACAAGTTAAATAAAATCAAATCTAAAAAAAAAAACAAATACCTTGCTGAATCTAAGTAATTATTAAACGCCGAATAATCTTTAAAGACCAATAAAAAAATAGTTCCTTTTCAGAGCGAATTTCATAAAGTTAATCATTTTTGACAAATTATGCTAAACTCATAACTTTACGAAAATTTTTAGAGAATATTATTTTAGAATATTTTTATAGAATATAGAAAATATTCTATTCTAAAACTCATTTTTTCATATGAGAAATAAAAAATTTACCCAAGCTGCAGATCGCGAATGAGCTGCCAACACGAGGAAATCTTCAACTGTATAGTCTTCTTCGAGCTTATTGAGTTGCATGAAATAACAATTCTCTTTCCGTTTTTCATGTTCTATCCTTTAATTATTTAAATTATTTAAATTTATGATTACACAATAAATTTATATTGGGGTCATACCATCATGAAAAATAAAAATTTAAACGTAGAACTAACATTGGATCATCATTTTCTTCCCATCCAGTTAAATTCTTTAAACAAAACGGACAACGAACACTGTCAGAATCTGCTTCATCGGGCAGAAAGAAAAAACCAGCTTTAGCCATCTAAATTTTTGTTTTACACAAAAAAGATGGAACAATATCAGGTAAAATGAAAGATACACTTGATAAGTTTCAAGAAAGATTAATTTAAATTTAATTGAAACGAAAGACTTTATTAACTGATTTGTTAGCAATTTTTTTCAGAAAAATATATGAAAATTATTAAATCCAAAAATTAGGATAAAAACATAAATTTAAATAAATGCAGAACGCGAAAAAATAACAAATTTGAATAGAAGGATCGTGAATAGTTCAAAATAAACCCACAAAACGAAAGTTCCATACATATCCGCTATCGGAGATCTGGCTATTTGAGAAGAAATTGTACGACGAAAAAACGAATAACGAAAGGCGAAAGGAGATAGAACGATAAAGAATAAAATTTAGTACGAATGGAGTTATCCGGAGTAATAGGCAAAATACCAAAAATAGAAAAATTACCCTCTCAGGACTTAAATTTTGCGATTTATGCGGCCATCTATCATCAAAAGATTTCAAGCGCTCCTCGTACAAAAAGTAAGGCGTAAAACGATCAGCCGAATCTGGTAATTTAACCATTCTGCAAATAGTATTTTATCAGCAATAAATAACTGAATGAAACGAAGAAAAAATTTCGAAAATTCAAGAGGAATAAAAAGTATTTAGCAAATAAAATTAAAATTTCGAAATTGATTAAAAATTAGAAAAGAAATAGTCAAAAAATAAAAATATCGGAAAACCACTGTAGAATAGAAGTACAGGTCGCTCCTCGACCGATGGCCTGGATTTAAAAAGGTCCAAAACGCGGTCCTCGAAGTGTCGGCGGATATTCTTGCACTAATCAAGCTAATTAAAAAATCTTAAAATTTATGTCCACTAAGCTGCGTTCAAGCACAAAATGGCATTTTTGCAATTGTATGAGATGAGAATGGAAAGAAACGACACGGACGATCACCAAACTCGCTATTCCAGAGTTCGGCACAACCGATGAGCGAAGACGGAAAGCACTGTAAGCTCCAGAGTATTATAAACAAAAACCAAATTACCACGCAATTTTCAAATTCATACAAAAATTTTCAAAATCGGCCGGACGTTTGATTTTAAATTTAAATTTTTTCGATCTGACCTGCACTTTAATCCTCGGCCTTCATCACTTAATTGCAGTCGATGGTTTTCAAAATTTAAAACTCGTTCGATAGATGCATTAGCCTTAACCTTTAACCCAAGCCAGATGGCAGAACAAATCGCTGAGTGCCCAAGAAGTGGCGACTAACTCGGGGCGTGTGATCAACTGGCGGACGAGCAAATAACCATTATCATTTCAAAATAAAGTGGTGGCGATTTCTCGTCAGAATAATTTTATCTCACTTCTATTCGGTTCATACAAAGCAGATCATAAAATGAATGTGATATATATTAAGACAGCTATATGAATATTAATATATCTATGGTCATAAATAATGTAATATTAGAAAACTATCAAACGAAAATTCACCGAATAAGAGAATGTTAAAAAATCAAAAATTGAATGTGAAATCCGGTTTTTATTAATTTACAAAAAAATTTCTGAAATTTCTGCGTTTCAATCTTTCTTCTTTATTATCAACGGTCCAACGTTATCTCCCGTACATTCGTTATGCTTTGTATGAGTGCCATCACAGTATGGAAACTGCAAACGTGAAACAAAACATGTTATGATAAAAAATTGGCGAACCTACGTGAATTTGATAAGTCCATTATGAAGAGAATATTTCTAAGGAAAGAATAAAATAGTGTGGTTAAAAGAATAATTAGATAACTAGATATAAATATTAAAATCAACTTTTTGGGATGATAAAAAAAGGATTTTTGACTTTTTTCATTTGCACCTATTAATTAGCCATATGTCAAATTAAATATTTTTTATAAAAATAATTTTTATTTTTTTTATAAAAGAACCAGTGAAGTTCGAAAAATATGTAGTTTTTGAAAAAGCAATAGAAAAAAGCATTTAGAAAACATGAGTTCCAAAAAACATACTTCTGCGCTTTTCCAACATCGACAAAAGACTTTTTTATCACCCAAATCTTCCATATCGATTATATCAACAACCTAAAGAAAAACAGCATAAACGCTATGAAATAAAATAAAATTTCAAAATTTCAAATTTCAAACTTTTTGTCATTTGACTCAAAACAAAACAAATATACAAAATCAACTCATTAAATAAAAAAATTTTGTCTTTTCATAGCGTTTATGCTCTTATTAAACTTATGCATAAAATTTTTTAAGTCCTTTCCTGTAACCAAATTCTTTACTTCAAAAAAATGGTTCCGATTGGCAATCCTTGATTTAAATAATCAAAATAAAACAATAAGCATTTCAAAACATCACAGAAAAAAAGGAAGAATTTAAAAAATTCCAACCTTTCCTGTAGACAGCTTGATCAGATGGTTTATTCTATTTTTCTTTTTTCTTAAGTATAAACCCAAATAGTAGCCAAAAATCGCGCTCCCCACTGCTATACCAAAAACGCTGACAAGCACCCTTTCAGGATGAGCTGAAAATGGACCACTGCTGTGAAATCCTCCGCTCAACATCCACAACAAATCTATTTAATAAAATTTAAATAGGACAAAAAATAACCAACTATTTTCGCAAACCATTTTCCTTTATCACTCGATGTAATTTTTCCGCACTATCTAAAATTTATTAAATTGACGTATCTTTAGTCGTTACCAATAAATCATTTAGCTGACTTTGACAGACTGACAACAACAGCTAATACAATCGGAAATATTAACTTTGCGGAACAAATGTGATAGCCATGAATTTTAAATTTCCCACATCATATTTACGTACAATTTGGAGAAAACTATCCTACGACCTAATTTCTTAAAATTAAATTTTCTCATAGGAAACTAAATTTAAAAAAATTTTTACATAGAAACGATCACCAAACAATCCGTAGCCTCAAATTCAATTTCCCTCTACCCTAAAAAAACTTCATATTTTATTTTTCAGCTATCCTCGAATTTCTAAATAAAGTGCTCATGTGCAAAGAAATAGAATCGATCCACACAAATCCTAGAAAAATATATTGCGAACGGCTGAATTATATCAAAATATACTGCCAAATCAACAATAAACCAACTTATCTTTATACACGCAGTTAAAAAACAATTGAAGAAATAAAAACTGAAAAAAATAAAACAAAAAATATGAAAATGTGAAAAATATAGCAGCAGATATTCTTTTTATAGAAAGATATAAATCTATAAATAAATAAATAATAGATACAAATCCTTTAAGGCTCTATTTTTTATTTTTTGATTCATCTACAATTTACATTAATAGCCAGTCATCATCACAAATAATTGAAATTATTATTTTATAACCAGTCTGGATCAGGTCTTTTTCGGTAAACTGCAGCCCACTTCTTTCCCTTATTTCTTGTAACCTTTTGGCCTTCTTCAGTGCTATCATATAGCAGTTTTACAATAGGATCATTCATCATTTCACTTTCATTAAGCTTCTCGAAAAGTGGATGTTCTGATATGTGTTTAACCATCCATATATGAAGATTTTCTACATCAGTTATCGTATATATTAAGCCTGAAAACATTCCAATATTATAAAATCTCCTAAAATATTTTAAACTAGGCTGAAAACTGGAAATTAGGATAAGAGATTTTAAATTTCTTCCTTTTCTAATTGAATGAAGTTGCAAAAAATATTTTTTCACAAATTTTAACATGATAAAAACGACAGCTTCGTTTATCTACCTTTTATCTACCTTTCCAATGAATCAAGTCTTACCGTCAGGTTTCAAAAGATATGAATAGATAGCGAGCAACTCTGTTGAAATTATTCGCCGTTTATATTTTGCTTTCTTAAAATGAGGATCAGGAAACAAAAAAAACATTTTTGACAGCTGATGGCAGAAAATGAAATTAGGCAAATACTTCATTGCATTGGTTCTTAAACATGCGATATTGTTGTATTTGCCAGGATGTTTTAATCTCATTGCTCTTATTTTTTCTTGCACAAAATCACATACCTAAAATAAAATGATATGAATTATATGCTTTCAACAGACGAAACTATGAATTCTTCTTGCTGATAAAGTACTTGCTTTAACTCTTATTTCCAAACCAAGGATTAATTCTGAATGATAGATATCAGACAATTTAAATAACAGACCACCATAACCGCAGCCAATATCAAGAAAACTGATTCGGCTTTTTTCTGCTAATGTTCCATAATAGGGCGACCAATCCATTCTGAAATTCTTCTGAAAAATATGCACTCCCTGCAGAAACAAAATTTAAACAATATTCAACAAAAGAAAAAAATTTTTGACATGCAAAGACGACGTACAAGTCTGGACTTAATGGATAAACAAGGTCGTGATCTGACATTGGATTCGAATGAGCCCTTTGCCGAAAAAATTTCTTTTGTGGAAGTTCCACATTTCGTTCACCATCTGCATCCATCAAATCAAACTGAAATCTAGTTGATAAAAGAAATAATTCTCGCCGAAAACGTTAAAAAAACCCAAAAATCGGGAAAAATTATATACTAAATTATGAAATTATAAAATTTATGAAAACTACTGCAAAAATATTAGAATATTTCCCGAATAACGTAAATGTAATTTTTATTTACGAAAAATGATTATTAAATAATCAAAAAATTAGACATCACAGGAGCAAACATTTTCTCTCTGCTTAAAAATATTTCTTCAACAATTACAAATAAACTTTTTCATGACCAAAAACTGATTCCTTCCTTATTTAAAAACCTTTCAAACTTTTTATCACTATTAAAGAAATTCTCAAGAAATTTTCCACGGAAAAGCAAGGGAAACCATTAAAAAAGTAGTATTACAAAATAAAAAATATTATGAAGATAAAATAAGACAAATACGAATAAATAATATGATTTTGCAAAATGAACGATTCCAATACCAAGCACTTTAATATTTTAAAACAAATGAAAATGAAGAAAAGAAATTCACCAAGAAAACCAAAATATACAAATACCAATTTCCTCCAAAGCAAATTCAACATGAAGAAGATAATGAAAACAATGAAATCAAAACCCGAATGGAATTCAAAGCAAAATAGAATTTCAAAGTATGAAAATTATATCGCAGACCGATGGATAGAAAAATCATAATATAAATCAAATTTATCACTAATTTCGATGAGATGAATAAATGTGTTTTTTGCGACGCTGTGGCGGTAACTCGATCGATGTGACCTAAAAATTAAAAGATATTACAAGATAAAAATTAAAAAAAATTTAAGAAATTTAAGAAAAAATATAAAAAATTATAAGATGTAAAAAAGATGAAATAATTAAGAGAAAATTTATCAATTACTTAATGCTTACTCGAATAAAAACCAATAAATATAATAAAACCATTTACACAATACACAGTACACAATAAACAATAATAAACATGCCTGCAATGGCCAACCGCCACCAATTACGCCTGCAGTAATCACACCACCAGTAGCCACAGCCAATTCAGGATCAACTCCATGATTAGGGGCCTTACTAAAAAAAATATTTATTTATGAAATATTTTTTCCAGCAAAAAAACTGAATATTAAATTTTATGATGGCAATATTTGAAATTCAGTTTTGCTAAAAACAAACAAAACATAAATGCGTATATGCTATATGCTAATTCTACTAATTTCGCAATATCAATTTCAGCACTTTCGACTATAAATGGAAATAAATGGAAATAATGCCATCATACCAAATGGAAAAATGAAAAGTATCCTAAAAAATTAATACTTAAATTAATACTTACTTAAAATATGTACCAACAACTTAAATTAATACTTACTTAAAATATGTACCAACAACGCGTCGCACCCTAGGAATACGAGTTGAACCACCAACTAAAACAATCTCATCGATATCTGAAGAACCAATCTCTGCATCTTTTAAAGCCGCTTCAATGGGTTCAATTATAGATTCGAATAAATCTTCATTTAAAGATTCAAATTCTTCTCTTGTAAGCTAAAATATATAAAAAATCTAAAAATATGAAGTTCAAGGAATAAGTGCATAAATATAATAGTTCATTATTCGAAACGTACTTTATACAAAAATCGACCAACAGATCGTAAATGAAGATCAATTGTACACTGAGGAAAACTTGTTAATTGTATTTTGGCTGTTTCTATCGCTAATCGCAACTGTTGTAAATCTTCTTTATCGTTAAAAGAACTCCCAGCATTCTCAGATATAACCTGAACAAAACAAAAGCAGTTGAAAGTTAACTAAGAATATCTTTTTCAACAACAGAAACTTGAATTACCTTCATAAGATGTTTCTGAATTCGATCATTAAAATCTTGTCCACCAAGCCGATTATTTCCCGCCATAGCCAATGTAATAAAAATTCCTCCCTGAAGCCACAAGACAGATACATCTAATGTTCCACCACCTACAGCATATAACAAGAGAAACAAGTGATTAAACTTTCTCAAAAAAATCGAAAGAAGTAAAAATATAAACAAACAAACAAACATGAGTGCTAACAGGCTTAAAATATATATATATATATATATATACAGGTTCCTTATAAATCCTTAGACAATAAGCGAAATAGGTACCAAGAAAGGACTTTACCAACTCATGAATTTATTTACTTGCAGCATTAAAAAAAGAAAAAATTCACGAAAAATTAGAAATATTTTTTCCTTTAATAGAATTAATGAAATGATATATCATATATTATTGAAATATAAAGAGAGAGTTCACCTCTTAATATCCACTAAAAGCTTCAAATTTATTAATTCTTGAAATATGGCTCTAGAAAAGCAGGAAACAAGAAGCAAAAAAAGATTACCAAGATCAATTACAACGATGTATTCAACACCTTTTTTCTTATCAAGGCCGTAGGCGAGAGCAGCAGCTGTTGGTTCACTTATAAGCCTGCGTAGTTCCATTCCTAAAACAATCAAATTAAATACCTAAAATAAACTGCAAATAACAGTTTTAAATAGAAACATACCAGCCAATTCGGCTACACGAGCGGTAGCGTTGCGTTGTGACTGATCGAATTCGGCAGGAACTGATATCACAATCTCCTTTATTTTTATACCAAAATGTTGTTCCGCATTCCGCCTTAGATAACTGATAATAATACTACCAACATCTTCAGGAGTGATATACCTGAATTTTCTTTTAAAATGAATCAAGCTAACTAATGTTTTATTTTCAAGTTATTAAGATAAATAAATAAATAAATAAATAAACAATAAATAAATAAATAAATAAGTTACTTGATGCCGGAATCAAGAGGTATTTCAAAAAATACTCTTCCTTCATTGTCCAACTTTATGTTGAAAGGATATCTTTTTCTATCATCCTGAAAATAACTAATAATGTTAATCAGCCTAAAAATAAAAAATAAAGAAAATTCTGAGCACGTCTGGAGCGAAAATTTATTAAGTTATAAAAGAAAAATCAAACAGAGAGAGATTATATTATTAATAGTTTCCAAAAATTTGTCACGTAAAATAAAATAACATCAAAGATCGAGACTAACTAGAAGATGAGTAATAGTGAATTTTGTAGTTATTTTGGGAGATAATTCGAAGGATCATACCTAATACCCTTCTTAAAAATAGATAATTTTTGAAATTTTTACGCCTAGAAGTTAGTTAGTTAGTTAATTTTTTCAAAATTTCTTTAAAGGATAACACCACAGATACTGCGTACAAAATTTTAATATAACCGGATCTTATCCAATATGTAACGATACCTTGATTTTGGTTGAATATCATAAAAATCTAATAATTCAATACCAATATCATTTAATGAAGGAGAACAATCAGAGAGAATTATCACAAAATAATTGAAAATGAATTTCAATTGCAAAAAATATGTGATCTTCATTTCCTTAAAGTTCTCAGTTTGCTTCCACGGATTACCCATTTCAAAAAAATCCCCTTGCAACTTATCACTTTTTGAACTTGAACAGGCTGGCTGGATTTTTATATGCTCAATTTTCAGCATTTCATGATCATTAGGGGAGATTTCCCGAGCCTTCATCGAAGCCAAATTATTTAAACGAAAAAATTTAGAGACGACTAAAACAAAAATACGCAGATAACAAAATATCAACAGAATAACAAGTGTGCAACTACGAGGATCGAATAAATAGTAAATAGAGCAATATTAAACTAAACCTCATCTTAAATAATTCCACATTCTATATTCCAATAAATACATTTTTATTGCAATAAAATCTAATAAAGAATATGAGCAGCAAAAAATATTAACCTGAAATTCTAGGTCATCTTTATTATAGACCTTACCAATAAAACGTTTAGCATCATATATTGTTCTAAAAGGATTGTGCTCCTGTTGTTCAACTGCTCGAGAACCTACCAGTATGGTGCCATTTGGTCTAAAAATTTTTAATAAGGAAAAAATACATAAAAAATAAACAAAATGCAAAATTCTCAATGTAAAGTCTTTAATAATAGTATATATAAAATAGAAAATAGAAAAAAGTTTATAAATATATATGATGTATTCCAAGAAACTAACAGAAAAGCAACCACACTAGGAATACTTTTCCGACCGGTTTCATCCGGAATGATATCCGTCCGGCCTGTAATTGCCTGATAGGCGCCTATCGATGAAAATGTGGTGCCAAGATCGACTGCCACAATTTTCGGCAAAGGCGGTGGCAAGCCATATTTCTGAGCCAAATAGCCAGCCAACAATACGGCTAGAAGCGCTGAACCTAAAAATATTACGTTAATATCAAAATTAGAAAAATAAATTTTAGTTAATATTGTTGAATGTTGGTTAAAAAGATAACATTAATTCAGAAACCAACTACAACTTGAATGAAAAATGAGTGAGCCGAACAAGAAATGAATATCACCACTTGCATATTCAAAAGAACACGGTTAATACTAATCCTACAGAATTCCGTCAATGACTCGCCTATGTGGATAAAGAATAGATTCTATCAATTTCCTGCCAATATCTCTCTCAAAAAACGAAGTAAATGAAGTCACACAAACGATGATCGAAGGAAAGTGGAATGGGCGCGTAGAACGTGAGGCTATCCCACTATTTTCTGTCGGCAAATATGATAGTGGTGCGCCAATGGAAACCACTATCCCCCATATGAATATGAATACATCTAGTTACGTGGAATTTGCTAGATAATCGATATTCGAACCAAACTATATTTANTTTGGTCAGTCACCGATGGAAGTCCTGTGGAGTGCTAGGACATCCGCGCATATAGCTAACGAACCATGTTGTGGCTAGAATCAACATTCCAATGAAATTTATAACGCGGAGGACACAGCGTTCCCAAAAATCTTAATTATTTCAAGTCAGACATATTTCGAACTGATGAACTGAAACCATGTTTTTATCTTTGGAATAGCCGGTCAATGACTTGGTTCCAGTTGAAGTTCTGTCTCCAGGAGCAGTTCTGCAGCGATAGCGGCGAAATGTGATAAAAATCGATACTGCAGCGATATGGCAATGAATATGGAGACAACTCGAATATGTGATTACCAATTTAATTCGCCTATTTCGCTAGGAGTTCGAGAAAAGTGAAATATTATGAGATCAGGATGGAACCCTGTTATCAATTAAAGTCCATCAAAGGTCATTTGCTTTTAAAGCCATGCGTGTGCAATTTTAAATCACCAACCCTTCACGAAGTAATTTCTGTTATTCACAAGTTTATAACCAATAAAATCACCAGGGAAAATGAATGAATGAGCTAAACTCTTCAAATGTTACCCAGTGTCTCTTTTAATATACCTCCACAAATTATATACACTGGTGTGGGAGAGACAGCAAATCTCATATGACTAGAATGAGGCAGTTCTTCTTCCAATTTCCGAAAGAAATCATGGGATATATTGGGACCACTATCATAACCTGCTAGGTTAGTTTTATGCTTCTCTTCTGGTGGATAGACTCACCGCAATGCGTGATAGCGCGGCGTGTTCTAACCAGACCGGATTTAGTCCAGGATATGTTTGTGCTGACCAAATTTTTACGAGTGCGTTGGAAAGTCATTTTATGTGTCGACAGCCTCCATACTTCATTGATTTTACTGATTCGATCAACAGAGTATCCCCCTGGCAAGTTATGCCAGAACGGTGTTCCAAAGAAATTAATTTTTTATAAAATATAATTATATAATATAATTAAAAATGTTTTAACTCCTACGTAAACGCATTGTTCGTATGTGGAAAGTTCTTTTCGTATCTACCTGGCACAATATCTAACGCTACTGTAAGATTATGGAACTTGCCTAAGTATATGGGAAATATGGGAAATTGACATATTTTGAAATAAATATGCATGTTAATGTTGCGTTCTCTTCCCTAAAGTTTTTAACTATGCGATAGATTGGGTTATTGGCTTGCAAACTGTATAAATAACAAACAGTTCATGGATTTTGAATGCCCGATGGTTTAGTCTTTTTCGCTGAAAATTACGAACGATTATGAAAGACCTGGCGCAACAACAAAAACTAGCCTTCAAACCTATATAAATGTAAAAGAAATTTTATATATCAGATTCTAATAAGGTTGAAATCTAATAAGGTTAAGGCAGATTCTAATTTATGCAATCTCATCAATGGTTCGAGAAGTATTGGACTTTAAACGTCTCCAAATATTCTCATTCCTAAAAGGGAAATTCTAGCTCGGATGGTTGCAATCAGAATTGTCTTTTTTCATCTCATTCATTCGCGTAGAAGGTTCTCTGCAACCGCAAAATCAGCCTCTAAAGAGAAATTCGCATCTAATTAACGCAATATATATGTCCACCGTCACTAGCATAAAGACTACCATCAGAATCATCAGAAAGCGATATCTACCGATTTTCTCTGTTCTTCGTCATTCAGCACAGGTCTTAACGCACACCTCGTTAAATCCTATGATGAATGACGTTAAAAACAAGAAAAGAGAACCAAGGTATGGACGAATAGAACCAGGAGTGGTTTTGAATAGTCCAGGGATATACAGGTTTAGGTGGCGAAAAAAGATGTTTCAATTTCTTTGTCATCGGATCGGGAGCTTCTTATCTTATTCGTCAGTGGAGCGGGTCAAAGTAGCAACGGTGTAAATTCCCAAAAAAGAAGAGTCATAATCAGTCACCATTTCTGGTTCAAATCGCTCCACTGGTTGCTCGTACATAAAAAAATTTTTGCCATGTTTTTGACAACTGAACGATAGAGATCCAGGTGGTTTGCCAACATCGAATTCTGATGAGACTACTCGAGACGATAATCTGAGCAATAAACACTCGGTTATACTTATAAAATTATAAATTATAAAGTCTTCTATTTCAACGATTTCATTTACATATTTATAAACGATCACATTTGGATAATTCCAGGTATTCCATTGCTCAAGAAAATAATTTTCGTCCGTCATCCATTTCATTGCGCCAAAAGCTTCGTTCATTGATGGGTTCAGCGCGAAACGTTTGTCAACCGGACATACGAAGCAATGAAGCCAAACAAAACATTTCAAAAAAACTTGTATCAGTTAATTCTTCACCTAATAAAATATGTTAAGGAAAATTGCCTTATCAGCTCTACTATATAAATAATGAAAAAAGATATTTGTTATTCTTCAGGGGAATTTTTCGAAATTTCATTACAAAGTCCCTTTTCCTATTCTTCCCTTGTCGCGCTTATCAATATTGAAATCAAAAAGAAATTAAGCTTATCTCAGGTTATGTTATTGAATATAAGAAGTAATTAGCGCTCATTTCTTGTTCCAGTTAGAATAATGGGAAATTTTTTTAGTAGAGAGTCGTTTGGCGATTAAAAGTAAGAGTATGAATTCTTTAAAGTAGAGCTTTGCTGCTATCCGAAACAGGATCTGAACTCCTGGTACTTATGGTGCTTTGAGCAATTTTGCCTCCAGATTATAGTATCACTGCCAGAAAATTTTTCTTCTAATGCTTATTTTTCTTCAATGATCCCAATTTTTAGTTTTTTTTATTCCCCACTCAAATTATAATTATTTTATATGCTTCTAATTTCACTTTGTTATAATATGATTTATCTGCTTATGCCTATGCTTGGAATTGCAAGCTAATTACGCTAATACCAATTATTAACCTTGAAAGGAAAGTCCAATTTAAAAAAAAGAATTTTGATTCATCTTTCGGTACTAAAAAATTATTTTTGTATTTTTTGTTTAATTTTTTTTGTGTATAAGAAATTTTTTACATTTTTAAATTTTTTAAAAATAAAATATTCCCCAATTTTTACTATATTTAAAATTTCAGTAATATGATGTCGTACATTTTTCATAAAATTTTTCTACAAATTTTTCTTATAAAAAATTTGTTAGTTAATAAAAGAAAAGGTGAATTTATGGATCTAACCGTGGTTTTCATCGAATTTGCTCTATTTTTTTTCTTAATTCATTATATTTCCAATGTAAAAATCATTCGAAAAGGATGGTTTTACAGTGAAAATTTCTGCATAAATTTACAATGCATTTCCGCGATGAATTTCTATATTTTAATCCTGTAAAATTTTTTTATTTATCTGCGTAAAAAGCTGTATAAATTCTTCCTGGATCCTTTTAGAATGGCTCTTCTTTAGAAAATAGAATGAAAACGAGAATTTGAAAAAATCGGTAGATAGACTTCGTCTCTCACAACACATCCTTGGTTTTCAACGTTATTTGCTTTATGCATTTTCACCAAATACAAGAGTTCTCCCGTTCTTGCATGTTGATTGGAAAAATTGGTAACCTGTGGCGTTAAAGGAATTCTTTATCTATTTTTCCCTTGAATTCTTAAAATTTTCAGATCTCAGCTTGAGAGCGCCTTCAATAGATCATCATCATTATCCCAGAACAAGGCCTGACAAGTTTTTGAACCAATCTTTAGTTGGTTTGATGGGATAGCTCGTTTTTTAAAATCCAAAAAATAAGAAAAGTCTGATGCGTTCGCAAAAAATTTTTGAATTCACGGTGAATATTTCTCACAAATATATGTTCCCAAACTATTAAAATTATTTTTTTGTAATCTTAATCGCAAATAATAAGCAATTTCAAACCGAAAATAGCTGATTTCTTAAAATTATCTTAAAATTAAATTCGGGCTGATTCGAAAAAGTGCAAATATTTTGCAAAAGTACTGTAAATAATGCAATTATTTATGTTAGCATCTATAACAACAACAATTATAAATAATTACAAATTTTAACTCGAAACTCGAATGGTACCAAAGACGAGTCACTTAATGCATCTTATATATTTACAAAGAAGGGAAAAATAAGGACGACAGTGTGAACCAAACAATACCACACTGCGAGAAGATCATTACTGTTGAATCCAGCATTAACTACGACCATGACTATCTATTTCTATGCGATAATACAAATTTAGAAAAAAACCCGGCCATATAAATATATTACAAAATTAAAAGCAAAACAAAATATGCAATTATATTTTATATAAAACATTTTAAAAATCAAGATAAACTCCAATAATTGTACATATCTTTATATTTCAACTTAAAAATTAGTTAAATCATTGAAAAAACATTCGAGTAATTAATTAACGCAATAATATAAACTAATTATAATACATAAACACAAAATATATGAATCGAATTAAAATGAACTTTGTAAATAAAAATGAAAATATATTAAGAAAATCAGTTGGCAATCTAACACTAATACAAATAGTCGTCATGTTGTTCCTCCATCCTCCACATCAGTAACATCATATATTTCATCATTTAAGGTAGAATGAAAATCATCGCCAGAAGAATTTTGCCGAGAGCGTATCACTGGACTCAGAAATCCAGCAAAATTGTGGCGTTCTCTATGATGCATTATTTGCCGCCATATTCGACAAACTACTCCTGCTCTGAAACATAGCTGTAAAGGTAAGGAAAATTCAAAAAAAATTTTATAAAATAATATTCGATAAAGCTTTTTAAAATAATAAAAACTTAAAAAAAAACTTAAAAACCAACCAAATCATAAAAATTATAAACAAATTTGGCAAAAGAAAAAATCAATAAAACATCACTTTAGACCAAGAGCAATTAATTCTTCTCGAGTCACCAGGTCTATTAAATCATCCTTTGTATATTCTTCATCTTGTATACGAGCTATAACTGAATCACTAATACCAATCGATCTGAGCCATTCAGCTAGTTCGTCGTTGCGCACATTACTTAAATCACAAAATTGCAACAATAAGAATATCACGAAATTCAAGTGAAATCAATTTTCAGTAAAAAATTTGAGAAATTTTTTTACGAAATCATTTTGGAAATCATTTAAAATAATAACCGATTTAAATATGATGAAAACTGAATATCAGCAGGATTCCCACTCAAAGATAAGGGAATATAAGATGGTCCAGAGCTATCAGGAGAATTTAATCCAAATCCAAAAGAAGGCAGAAGTGATGGTGGAGTGTTCGCTCCTCTCACACTCCCTCCTGTATCAGACAGGAAATCAGTTAGCCTTTCAACTCGTATCTTTTTCTCTTTTAAGGTGGTTTGCAAGAGTTCTTTATATTCACGTTCCACGCAAACCAATTCCTCGAACAACCTGAAAAATATCAATCTAGCTCTACTATGGATAAAAATATGTTAAAATATTGTTTTATAAAATAAAAGGAATAAAATTAAGCAAAAAGACAATTATTTAGAACCTATAGTGTAATAAATCTTATTACGAGAAGATAAAATATTAACATTACTTCAGAATTTTTAAACAAAAAACTGAGAATGAAGCCATAATGAAATTATAATGTATAATGAAATTAAAAAAATAAAAAAATTACCTCCTATTCTCATCGACAAGACCTTTTAATTTTTTGCGCATTTCCGGAGAAAAATTGGCCCATAAACATTCACGTGTCATTCCATATGATGTGGAACCAATTCTACTATCAACTGTTGAATATTCGCTGTGCGATCCAGCACTGTCTCGAGAGACAGATGACATACGATTACCCGGAACATCTTGTACAGAAAGCATCGCTGAGAGATCTAAACGAATAAGAGCAAAGTTCAACAAAAGTTCTACAAAGCAAAAAAAACTAAAAAAAAAATAAAGGCAAAATAAGCTTACAAATAAGCTTACCAGGAGATAATATTCCAACAGCAGCTTGCACAGCATTCCTAATAAGATTATCTAAAGCAAAGATCCAATGTGGTTTAATACTTTGCTGGCGTAATACTGGTTGCACAGCATCCGAAAAAATATATAATGCAAGATTCACTTGTGAAATCGCTGAAGGCTCGTAATCCAGCTGTGCCTTTATTGAATCAATGGCATCCTGCCAAAGTGTGATTAATATACAATTATACAATATACAGAATTATATAAAATATTCAAATATATATTATTATAATATTCATTGCTAAAAAAAATGGAAATGGTGCCTTACTTGTATCGAAGATGTATCTTTCACCTGTAGATAATCTCGCATAGCAAGCAATAACATAGCTAACATATCCTGAAAAAATTCTTTAATTTTGCTAATTATATTATACTAATTATAACTTTAGTAAGTTCAGCAATTTACAAAGTCGAATAACTAATAATTAACAACAACAAAACAAATGAACAACAAATTTTCTTGATCTAAAAAGTTAAAAAGCTCTAAAATGAGCAAAAAATACCTTTGTAACTGAAAGTTCCATTGTACTGTGACTTTTGTTTAAATGTTCATACCAGTTCTCAATGATCTATAAAATTACTAAACATAAGACAATATAGTTCAATATAATTGTTAAATACATTCGCAGACAATAAATTTTTCTAACTAAATTTAGTTAGCTTTGATATACTAACATTATTTTTATATTCCAGCATAAATCTAGCCAAAGTGTTGCGACGCTCAGAATCTTTTTTTAACATAAAAAAACGAGAAGACATTCCACTTTCATCAGAAGAAGTTCGATTAAGTATATTAAGATTTGTGGAAACTGCTGCACCATTTAAATAAGAAAATGGCTCTAATGAGCTTGATAATAATTCTGGACCTGTGTCATCATCTAAAAGATTGTTGATGAAATGTGCCATAAGAGTGAAAGCGCATGAATTTAAACCGCAAAATTTTTAACCATTTCAAATTCTTTAAACAATAAGTATGAAATATGTTTAATGATACCAGTGATAGGAGATGATGGTTGGCTCACATGATAACCAGAATTCGGACTAACTGAACTGCGATCAATTACGTAAGAAGCTAAGCGTGGAGCAGTAGCACTTTCAATGAACAAGTGTAGATTTTTGCCAGTATTACCTTTATCTTTTGCAGGATCTATAGCCACTGTACCAAAATTACCCATATGAGATACAGATCTTTGCATTTCTATAAAACAATTTAAATGAGTGGCAATAAGAAAAGTTGTCTTCCTATGAAGTAATTTGATGTGGGATTTCATAAGCTTCTCTGAATTTTTCACAAATAAATTACTCTTTATCAATGAATTATTCAAAATTAATATTTGAAAAATATTGAATTTAAACAAAAAATTCAAGGCAAGAAAATATTTCATAAATGCATTTACCTCTATTTTGCTTCCATGTTTCAAAATGTTTTTTACTGGCACTTCCACTTCTATTCCTGCAAACTATCAAAAATAACCAGAATGATTGTATCGAAAATAAATACTGGACTTAGAACTATCCAAAAAATTAAAAGAAACACTTCGGCAATAAATATATCAGCGCAGAATACACAGATTCATAAAAAAAATACGTTCTTTATATAAAAAATTGAAAAACAAACGAATGAGGAATATATTGTTGAATAAATATATCAGAAAGAAGTTGAACTGCGGTAGCTCTTTTGTTCGGATCAGGTTCAAAGCAACTGAAGTTAGTAATTTCAAGTCTTAGAAAAGATTTTAATTTTAAATTCTGACCTTAAAAACCACGGATTCAGTAAATAAATTAAGCCTTTAAAAATTTTTCAGATTCTAAAATTCAAAATCTAAGACTGAAATAAACAGTTATAATTTATAAACAGTTAACAGTTATAACAGTTATAAACAGTTATTCTGAAGAAACATTAATTTAATTTAAATTTTTTAATAATTTTAATAAATAATAATTTAACTAATAATAAATTACCGTAAAATAAATCGCTGACATCTTTCACTAAGACGTTCTGGTATAGGCGGATGAGTTTTAAACATGCCAACTTTAAACATGGCTGCTTGAGGTGAACCTAGTTCTACAAAAGGTGGTCGACCTGTAGCCATTTCCACCATCGTGCAACCAAAACTCCATATATCAGCAGGTGCACCATATCCTCGTTGACCTTGATCAATAACCTTCAAACGACGACTTAAGCTGCAGTTAATAAGAAAATAAGAATACATTTATACAGAACGAATAAGATTTTTGCTAAGAAAATGTTTACCTCGGGAGCCATGTATTGCAATGTACCCGTAAATGTTTCAGTAACCGGGTTTAAGCCAGCAAGCCTTTTGCATGTGCCAAAATCAGATATTTTACAAACACCACTATACGTGTTCACTAAGACATTATCACCTTTAATATCCCTGTGCACGATTTTTTGATCATGCTAAAACTTTTTTAAAAATAAGTCGTAATTTAATCTAAATAAGAAAGTGAAGAAATGGAACACATTATGTATAAAATGGAACATAATGTATAAAATGTTAGAAAATTAATTCACACAACAAAAAAATCTTTATTTCTGTAATACTTACCAAATAACGAAGACCATCCAAAATTTGTTTGCCATAAATAGCCATTGTCTGTTCATTATCGAGAAGTGGACCCCATTTGCTACGCAGCAACGAACTTAAGCTGCCTAAAATTCACTGAAATTCCTGTTTGATGTTTTGGAAAAAATCTTCCAAATATATTAATCACACAATTATTTTTCTTTAATTTCTAGAAGATAAATTACTGTTTATTTCAGAAAAAAAAGAAATTTATTCTGAAGGAGTTAAACAGAATAGTTTAAGACAATTAAAAAAATAGAGGTGATCAATATATTTGATGAAACTTCTAAAGAAATCAAAATTTCTTACTGCGCAATCCATTTTCTATAGGCAATGGTTGAAAAAGTCTATATATAACGAAATAAAGTTTTAAGGACCTCCCGGCACTTGCTCCATTATAATTTGAAATATGTCGTGTCCTTCATCCTTCTTGACAAGGTTGCATCCCAGATATTGTACGATATTTTGATGTAACAATGTTGAATGCAGTTGAATTTCTTCCATAAGCGGTTGCACCTCTTCTTCATTTTTTACTTCTATTTCTTTTACCACAATTGATCTAAAAAAAAGCAATTAATTTTTACTGTTAAAAGATTTCAATGATGCTGATTTTCATATCCCAAAATAATACCGTTGAGTGGTTAATTCTCTTCCAGAGTACACAACACCATATGTACCGCGACCTAGCACAATACGCTCGCCATTATTCGTTAACTCATATTCAAACTGGAAGGGATTGTAAATATATAAGGTGAACGCTAAATTGATTCAGATTATATTAATAAGCAAAATATGGTTGAACTAGATCAAAAAGATCGAATATTATATTGCTCCGAATAATATCGTCTTTTAACGGGAACGAATTTATCATTAAAAATTCGATATTACTGACACTGGAAGCTAACAGTATCTCTATCCAGTATATCTGGCGAAGGGAGGCAAACCAGAAATAATAAGCGAGAAAAAAAGATAAAATCGAATCCGAAAAGGATTTTTATCAAATGCACCTCTTTTAATTTATTTTAATTTAAATTTAATTCATTTCATTTTAAATTTAGAAATAAAACCTCAATTCTTTCTTCTGTATCACAGCTGTTAAGAAGCCGACCGATATTCCCATCTAATTCACTAGTCATCTCCATAAGCATTGTCATGACTCTACAGCAAAATCAATATGAGATATTTTGAACTATTCTGAAGACGTAATTAAGATAAGACAAGAAATTTAAAAAGAAAATAAATAAGCAAACTTATTGCAGTGGGCTGCAGAGGGAAATATCAGATTAAAATCATCTGAATTTTCGATAACATATAAAAAAATCGAACGGTCATCTCTTTTCGAAACCGAAACTGCTTTTATATCTGAAGCCGTAAAATTCCAACGATGAATCCCTAAAAATAGTTTAACTTAACGATCCAAATCAAGGAAAGATTAAGGTAAAAATACTTGCCTGGAGGAGGTTTTTGTTGCTGACTATATTCAAGAACATGACTAAGAAATATTGATCTTTCTCCAATATTTAAAGTTAGGAAGCTTGGCGTATATTGCTGCAACAAGAAATTAAAATAATATAAAGGATATCAAGACTGACTATCAAGCATAAAGCAAAAAAAAAGAGAAAATCACCTTTGTGAATTCCTGAGAAATTTTCGTTAATTCAAAAATCAAAACAGGAAATCTTGCACAAACGATTTCTGACTCCGATTCAGTTCCCTCCATAAAGAATTCACACCAAAATAAAAACTGCTGTTTTTCACGTTCAATAGGAGAAATCGTAGCACCACATCGATTAATTATTTTGATGTTTTCCATGGTTGATTTCAGATACCTGAAATTAATTACTATTTAATTTGCAATATCCTTGCAAGTTGAGAACTCAACAGCATGTAATGTAGCATTTAATAAAGAAAAATTATAAACCAGATGGGTGGCTTCAGAAGAAACATTTTCAATGCTGCTTGACAAGCTTTCGAATAATCTTCGGCTAAAACCGACACTTCAAAATATGTTGCAACGTCCCAATAATCCTTAACACTTGATAAAGCACCTCTTCTTCCCAATAAGCTATTCAATACACAAGCTGAAACCGTATAACAATAATATCTAACATATAACATATTATAATATTCCAGTTGAAAAATATCAACCATACCAATCTGCTGCATTTGGGCGTTATTCTCAAATCTTTCACCCTTTGCTCGTAATAAAGTGGCAAGATTAATTCCAGAATATTGTAAAGGAGAGAGTTCGAAAGCACGCTGATACCACTCGATCGATTTTTCTAACGATTCACGGTCTTCGTAATTACTAAGTATGAAATAATCTTTGTATATACGACCGACAAGGCAAAGAACATCGGGACATACGCTAGAATTAGAAGCATTCGCCTCAGCGATCATGTCCATTGCAGCTTTTAGTGACCGCTCTCGATCACCATCCATATTGCGTCTGAAATGTGCTCAAATATCTACCAATATGCGTCCAGCCAAAAAAAAATGAAAAGAATTAATTGATTCATAAAGATAAATTGATTCATAAAGTAAAAATTGAATGAGTGGCGTAGACTTTACTGGAGAACCTGTTAAGAGCAAAAGCATAAAGAAAACGTATTCCAGGAGCGTTGATGATTGAAATATTTTCGATACATCTTAAATCGTCAATTAAACTGATCATTGCATCATAATTTTGGTTGTCTCTAAATATGATTGTTGTGATAAGAATTATTTTCATTTTCCTTTCGATTAATTGAAAAAAAGTAACAAAAACGAAATACAATTTGAAAATGAAAATTACCTGTAGCTAAGCATTAGCTGATGTAAAGTTTCCGGAGAAAGTATATCGGGATTATCCAACCTTCGCCGCATCATATCCAAAAATTTATTATTTGCAGACATATCTTGGGAACCAGATTCACGAGCTTTTCGCAAATCCATTAAGAATCTTTCACGAGAATGAGCTGATGACTCGACTTGAACATTTTTTAAGGCCTTTTTCAAGCATTTATTAAATGATACTAACGGAAGCTTGAGAACCTTCTAAAAACTGGCAAAAATCGGTGCAATTAAAATAAAAAATAAGACATAAAAGAATCGAAAAATGCATCTAAAATCAGAGAGACTAGGATCATAAGACTCTAAAGGAGGCAAATCCCTCGAACTCCCTGTCAGTGGGATTTTCTCCGTCGTGATAAAAAATAGGACACGTAAAGAATGGGATACTAAAGCTACGCTAAAAGCTCCTTCAGCAACATTTTTCGGTACCATTTTTGAGCCTTCTGTTTCGGTCAAAAAATTCCAATCGAAAAATGCGAAGCAACTGTCATTATATTAATTTAACTGTGATTATATTAATTTTAATTATTTAGCTGATTAAATTAATTAATTAATTATATTAATTAATTTTAATTTCCTTTAATTAGTTAAAAAAAATGGCACGTTTGATTATAATACGGGTTGAAGATGCAGAGGGGTAAAGAAGCTTTAAACAATTCTTAAGTTAAATGGATTCCAAGACTTCGTTTTATAAGCAATATTAAATGTTTATGCATTTAAATTTGGTTTTTTGATTAAACTTAGATAAGAAAGATTTAGTTTCAATATATTTACTTATTGGGGAAGAGAAGTACTCTACCTCTAGCACTATCATCACGAGAAAAGCGATATCTCAGGACAAGAGTTTAGGAATAAAGCGCAGAAATGAAGAAATGAAAATAGAAAGAAAGTGGGGAAAGAAGTTTTTTCCTGTTTTATCTTTTTCAATTATAATGGGCTTACGGAATTTTTTTATACCTTTTTTTTGTTAAAAAACAAGGTTTGCTTAATAAAATTTGGTCCTTAGCTCGAAATGTTAAGATAATTGTACTTCTAACTCCAACGATATAAACAATATAAGGTAGGCACAAGAAAATTTTGCGGAAATCAATTATATTTTAAATAAAAAATCTTTAAACCTAATGTATACTTATATATTTGTTATACTTGCGTATTGACATACCTATGCTCAGATACCATGAGATAAAGTGGACTATCAATCCAGTAACATGCAAGGATAAATGATCTTATGAGTAAACTTGGTAATTGCAGGATATAATATTCTTCTATATGTGTGCTATTTGAACCTAAAATGTTAAATCTGACTCTACAGCAGACGGACGATACAAGCATACAAGATAAAAAAAAAATTTACAAAAATAAAAATATTTAGTTCTTATTCGTTCCTCTCCGAATCAAATTTCTGGATCCAAAATATAGAGGATAACAAAGCATAACAGCAACAAACCTTTTCTTTATCCACTGGAGGATAAGTACATTCTATATGTTGTATTTCTCCTTTTAACTGTGTGAGATTATCAATCGTTGATGGTGCATCCAACGATATAAGACCTTGCCGACCATTCATATACAAAATCAGAGGTAGTCTGGCCAAAGTGGTCTACAAAATTAATTTAATTTAATATAATGACTTTAAGAGAATAAAGGTTTAATAAAAATTTCGAAATAATCTAATTAAATCCGAATAAATTTAGAACAAAGTGATTAGCCTCAAAATGAAGTACATTAAAATATAAAATATAAAATTAAAATAAGTTCCCATTATGTCTAACTTGACAGGATCCACTGACCATAATGATGAGATGCACTTACTACAGAATAACATGAGGATAAATATATAGATCCCAGTTCCCATCCGATATTCAATAATATAAGTCAACTTTACTTAAATAATATTCAAAAAATTAAAGTGGGAACTTTAATTTAAAGTGGAACTGACAATGAGAGCTCGCATAAGTGTTTCAGAAATTTCTTCCGTAAAGTGACTTATAAGTAAACAAGCACTCTGGCCCATTGATTCTCGAACGCCAATATGATAGCAAAGACTAGGCTGTTGCTGCACTATGGAAACATCAACAAGTGCTATATCAGCGCTATAAAAAATATCCAATGCATTTGTTTCACCAAAATCCAGTCGATCAAAATCTATGCGCTAAAAAACAAGTAACTGGTTTTAATAAAAGGCTGAAAGAAATTTTTTTGTTAATAAATAATTTAAGAAAAAAATATATACTATATACATAAACATAAATATCTCCATTTGTGTATATAATCACTATTGAGGATATCTATTAAAAAATCTACAAAAAAATTAACCTTCACCAGATAAATAACAAAAAAATACAGAAAAAACTAAATGAATACTAACCGAAAGTTTTACATTCAGTGAATCGGCAGCACGCTGGATATCTGTTGACGCCAATTCACGTATTTTCCAATATTTTCCTGTCTTCAGGTCGATAATCAAAACGATCTAAATAAAAATAAGAGAGTATAAAAAAAACAAAGTAGGAATATGCAAATTCACTTATGAATTTATAAATATATGCATATATGTTATAAATTATAATACCATTTAAAAAAAGTTGCATATAGGATCAAAATAAAACAATATCGAAACTGTTGCTTGTTCTTTGAAAAGTAATAAATAAAACATTTTGCAGATGAAAATAATTTAACGTCTTGATGTATTCTTAATTACGCTGGTATTACCAGTCTCATTCCAATTTCGTTAAAGATAACTTTTTATTCTAAGAAATATATTCAGACACGACAAAATTCGCGACAGCATTTTATTGAGCTTTCATTAAATCTAACGCAACTTTAAAACTTCTTTCGAAATTCTGATCTTCGGACTAAAATTTCGATTGCTATTTCTAAGTATCGAAGCCTTTCAACGAGTCCCTGAATTGAAACCGAACTGGGGTTTTGTTGACTTTTCACATTTACCCATTTAAATCAGTTCTATATCAGAAATTTCTTCGTAGTCAGCTTGAAGCTATATTACGAATGAAGCAGCAAGAAAAAATTCTCCAAAATTCTCAATGGTTCTCTCTTTTTACTAGCTGCATCAATAACCTTTTAAAATATGTAGCGCTCTTGAATTTTTGTAAGATGAAAATTTGACATTTCAAAGATTTCATCAGGATTTTGAGACACTCATGAGCATATATAACTCATTAAAAAAGACATATGATATTATACAATTGGTATGAAAAAAATAAATAGAAAAAAAACCTGAAGTATCCTACTGGGAGATATTACAGAGGCAGATGATAGACCAGATTCATGCTTTTTCAACTTTCTATGTAATATTGATGAAGATGGCTGAGAATTCGCTGACAATGATAAACAATGAGACAATGACACCGGATTTGTAGGACTAATGTCCATCTTTAAAGAATCACCCATTGTCAAAATGCCTCATATTAATTTAGCAGCAAAGATAAAATTTACGAGCGAAAAACCTCGTAAACGAATGGTAAGTAAATCCAATCAAAGAAGAACTGACTCCTGAAATTCAATTTTTTAAATTTAAATAAAAAATTTATTAAGAAGAAACAGATCTATCAAGTACTTATACAATTATTACAATATAATTCAAAAAATAAAAAAATTTCATTATTTGCTAATAACTATTCAAATAACAACTTCAATTTTTTATTACTTTCGAAGAATTTTTTATTAATATCTTTTATTAATTGTGAGCAAGAACCTTGATGCTTCGTGAAATAGAAATCTGAAAGTTTATGAATAACGAGAAAAAAATATGCTTCCACATGAAACTGACTGTATACTGAACGACTTGTGTTTTTCTTAAATATAACCTGTTATTTCTACATAAAATCTTTAGGTGCTTAGGAGCTACATTTTCATCACATTCTCCAAGAACTTCGTTGTTTTCACAAAATTCTCTAGGGAGTCCGTGGCTTTGATCAGCATCGCAAACCTTTATTACCCTTAGCTTTACCCTCAATTTCCAGCAAATCCCCAAAGAGTGAGCAAATAACACAAAAAGATAATTTCTAGCAATTTTTTACAAAAACCAAAGCTTTAAATAATTTATTTAAAGGCTTACTATAGAGCTCCTCCTCTTTTTTTCGTCTAATATTTACTACAGAATGTTCGGTTTTATTAAATTATTTAGGTAATAAAATAAAAATATAGAAGCATAGTGGAACAACAAATTAGCTCGGAATGACTTTCTTATTTTCTGCCAGCAGAAGAAAATAAAATATTTACAATAATATATCTGGAAAAGACAAAATATTACGGAAATAAAATAGTACACGCGCAGGCATTTCGTTTCGCCACATTTTAATTGCAGTTTGCAATTCCAATAATTTTCTGAGCTTAACGATCATTAAAATAGAAACCTTTCAATTAAAACTCAAAAGAGATTTAAGAGATGTTTGAGGAAAAAGCTTTCCTTAATTTAGCGACAAATTTGCGGCATTTTTACGCGGAAAGTTCACAATAAAACATAAAAGAAAAATAAGAAAATTGGAAGAATGACAATAAGCAAATTTATACTAATAACAACACGGAAAAACATGGATAAATGAATCGCTAATCAAATTATTAATAAGTAAAATTCATAAATAAGTGGAAATACAGTATGGACGAACGGACACTAAGACTGGAGACTGAAACCGTCGAATAAATTTTTAAAAAATGAACGATTTAATTTTCTGCGGAACAAGGCGAAACAATTGGGTTACCGATTTATTACAATCGTTGTAGGACACGATTTTCAATTTTGCAATTTTGCTTATGCTTAGCGCATGCTTACAATTAACGTGATATTTTATTGTTTCGTTGAGAAGGCCAAAGTTTCAGTCCAATCAGAACCTTAAAAAAGTCTTCTTGCTTGCCATATAATTGATGCGCGACAGCCAAGGACAAGTAGATTTTGAATCGCAATCAACAGGTTCTTCTTGGCAGATAATGAATCTGATGGCCTGGTATGCAGGTGAATGAATCGAGCCACCCATCTGTTTTCCAACTACCCTTCTGGTGTTTAAGAGTTTCTAGTTTAGCGGTCAGTGGAGGGAGGAAACTGCGAGTGCTATTTAAAAGAACGATCTAAACCGTGCAAATAGATTTTAAAAAATTCTTTGCTTTATAGAATACTATATAAAAATCTTTATTACGAAGTTCCATCCAGCCCTCCACTAATACTCTCTTGCATCCTCTTGGATTCTACGTGACTTTTTAGACCTTTCCTACCCAAATTCATCTCCCTAACAACTTCTTCGACGCTTGTTATCCTCTTAACAAATCGCTTTGTCGCTCTGAAGCTCCCTCAGATATCGCTGTGATTTTTGCTACACTGCGTTATCAAATATATATAACTTCTTTGCAGGCTAGTCATCATCTTAAATGAACATTTTTCTCAGAATCTTTTCTTTTGTAACCCTCTCCTCTTTCAAATCTTTTCTTTAAAACCATGCTGTAGCCTTTCTTAAATCTTTATATTATGTAACTCTGGCTCTTGTGCTACTTGAACCCTCCTGTGGTCAATGCATATGCTAGGGTATCAAAATTCTGTTGTGCTCTCTCTTCTTATCATACTTTAAAAACTTATCATAAACTTATCAAAAACTTATCATCATGAAATTTTGGCTCACCATGTTCAAACCGTTTATTATCACCAAAGCCTGTCACGTTTTGTGAAAAGTCTTTCCAAGACCTTTCATAAATTTCAACTTCACCAGACCATTTGGGCCTCTTGAGTGCCGACAAGCAGTGTCCATTATCCAGTCTATCGCATAGTTGAATATAGTGGGGGAAAGGACGCAGCCCTGACGGATACCTTATTTCGAAGGAATCTGTCAGTTCCCCATATACACAGACCTGCGCCGACGCTCATAAAATGCCCTTATGAGTATAATGATTTTCTCTAGAACACCATCACGTTCCATTACCCTCCAAAGCGCCATCAATTGAATCAAAGGCAGCCGCAAAGTCGATGAAACACGTGACAGTGGGTTGCAAATATTTGAAGGGATGTTCCAACATCCTTCTTAACGTGAATATCTGGTCTGAAACCAGCTTGATTAGGGCATATCCTGCTGTCTCGTACTTCCATAAGTCTGTTGAGTAGCAGGGAAGCAAAAATTTTTGCTGACACGTCTAATAGGCTGATTCCTCGATAATTGTCGCAGTATGTCCTATCACCTTTCTTGAGAATTGGGAGCAGAATTTGCTTTGCTCCAATCATCTGGTAATATTTCTTTTTTCCATACTAAAGAGTACATTTGTTGAAGGTGCCTTATGAAGGACAATGGACAGCATTTGAAAAGCTCAGCTCGAAGACCATCTTCTCCTGGAGTTTTGTTGGCCTTAAGCTTATGGATAACTGAAATTATTTCTTCTTCTGTTGGAGGCTCGCAATTGCAAACGTTGGCAACAGATGGCGCTTTATGGTTAAGTTTGGCCTCAAAGAATTCTTTCCATCTTATGATGCGATCCTTAATACTTTTAATTAGTACGCCATTGTTGTTTCTTACCATTTCACTGATCGTTCCCCGAGTCATAGTTGAAGAAGGCAGAATAGTTTCCTATTGTCGCCTAATAGAGCGGCCACCTCCATTCTTGAAGCCATGTAACTCCAATAGAAATTTCTGTCCCGCCTTGCTGCTTTCGTTGCAAATCTTCGAAGCACCCAGTAGTCAGGATAACCTGGACATTAGTGCTTTGGCAGGCTTTTTCAGACAATTGGACAGTTGCTTCCGATACCCAACTAGCGCACTTTCTACTAGTATGCCCTAGTGTGGAAGTGGCTGATTTTCGGAGAGATTCCTTTAATTTGCACCAGTATACATTTGCCGTTCCAGAAAAATCATTGATATTTGTATCATTGAGATGCTTCAATAATTCGGTTTGAAATGCGCTCACTGTCGCCGAATTTTTTAGTTTGAGATAGTTGAAAGAACTTGGGGAATGCTATTTTCTGCGAGTTGTCAATTTTATGCGGATCTTGGCTCGAACCGAAACATGGTCAGATCCATAAAGATTGCCCGTTTCAGCTCCGCGGTAGGAACGACTATCTAACACGGAACTCTTCCAACGGCGACTGACGAAGATATAATCAATCTGGTTGTTGGTTGTCCAGTGAGTTCCAGTGACTAGATGTTTTTTATGATGCCGGAAGCAAGTATTAGTAACAAAAAGTTCTGGAATGCTCTTCGGCGTTCCCCGGCGTAACGAAGAAGACGTTCCCCATTGGCACACCGGTCTCCGATGCCATATTTGCCAATTGTTGAGGTCATCGCAGCTGCATTATGACCTACGCGAGCATTCCAGTTTCCTGCGATTATGATCATGCCATGTTTCGGTAGAGATTTCGTTAGCAGTTGAAATTCCGCATAGAACTTGTCTTTATCACAGTCATTTGCCGACAGCGTTGGAGTATAGACACTGATGACCGAGGTATTGCAGAACTTACCCTTAAAA